AACGCGGTGCCTCCGGACCCCCCGCGCCGGGGGGCGGGTACCGACGGGCGCCTGTCGGGGATACCACTTAGACACTCACGCAAAAGGGATCCCTCCGCTGGGTCATTTAGTCCCTCAGCGCCGCTCTCCTCGCTTGTGCCCCTGCCGCTTCTTTCCCGGGACGGCACCGCGTCGGTGTGGCAGACACTTCTCGCCGCCTCCCCGCCGCAGCTGCCGTACCCGCTCCAGCCGGGCTGGGGCTGTGGCGGCCGAGCTCGGGGCGATGGGGCGCGCTTGGTGGCCGAGAAGAAGAAGATGCTGAGGGGGATGCCTTGCCCTAAGTGCCCCCTGGCTGGGCTGAGGGCAGGCCCGGGGCCTGCCCCGCCCGCGCTGTGGGACGTTCCCTCGGCGGCACCTCGCTGGGGACGGCAGCGGGGAGGCAGAGGGATCTCTCCCCCTCAGCCCTGTCAGGGTGCAGCTATGCCGGTAAAGCTAATCCAGCGTCTCCTGCCGTGCTTGCGCGCTTCTCTGAACTAGCTCTGGGCATTGGGCAGCTCCGCGGCGAGTCTCGCCAGCTGACTAATGCACCTGGAAACCGCCCTAGCAACAGGCTAATTGCTGTACGAGTAAAGGTTAATTTCGGTCTGGCCAGGGTAGCAGCCCGTTTAATGGAAGGGATGGGAAGGCAAGGTACAGAGAAGGAAGAATTGGATCAGCCTTTTTGCAGCAGCGTGGCTGAGAGCCTCATGCGGGGGAGTGGGGGCAACAAAACTTTTTAGAATGACAGCAGGGTGGTTGCGAAAGAATGGCTGGTGAGCTGGCTGCTACTTAATGGCTGTGTTTTGAACTAATCTGTTAAAACAGGTGGTTGTTAATCAGAATAGTTATTTGATAGGTGCTTTTACAGAGACGTTGCAACTCGTGTTGAGACTGCTGCTTGCAGCACTATAAAGTTATTCTAATGTTGTAGGAGTATGTTCCAGTTACAGAAGGGCAAAGCTTGGTTTTTATGGCATCAGACTTATATAATGAATATGTATTTTTGTAGCAATGTTTTTTGAGCTTGGTTGGTTCTGTGCATCATTGAAATAACTGTATTGATGTGTGAATAGATCAGCTAAATAAACTCGATATACACTAGATAGTAAGAAATGTTATGTAAACTACTAGTTATATACAAAATGCTATCACCATCCAAAAGTCTGCTCCAATATGTCCTTCAGGTACAAGCCAAGGTCTTTCTATGTGATAGCTCTTAAGGAAGGATTTTTTTTTTTGATGAACAGTTCTTGGCATAACAAAATGCCATAATAAAGCATCTTCTGAGTTAGTTTTTTGTAGGACTAATGAGTTGAACTGGCTCATGAGAGACTGGAGAAGTGCCAGAGCACGTGTTCAGTACACAGGAAGAGTGTGGGGAATACGGAATGGCAACTTTTTCCTTCTGATGACAGGACTGTTACAACCTTAGTTTGTACAGTCCTTGGGTTAATCATACAGCTGGTTTACAACTTGCGTATTAATAGGACAGAGGTTGGCTTGGTTCTTGCAGCTGACTTTCATGTTTCTTTAAAAATATGGTTTTGTCAATGAAGTAACACAGAGTATTTGACTGTGATAATTGTCACAGATGGCATCTTGAGGCATTGGTTTATTTCCCTCACCTTTCCAAGTAAGGGAATGAAAGCATATCTTCTAGCAGCTATGTTGTTTATTGTGAAATCTGAGGTTTTTTTCCACTTGGGCTTCTTAGAAATCTAGAGCTGAATGGAACCTCAAAATACCATCTCAGTAAGCTGAGCTTACTGAACTGAGGCACAATCATATTTTCCTAGACAACTGCTGGTAGATGTTTGTCTAACATTCTTAAAACTTTACTGTACTCTGGTATTCACATCGGTGGCTAGTGTCACTTGTCTCAATTAAATAGACCCAGGGCTTTAACTTCTTGTTTTAGGGTATGTTTTCTAACCCTATTCCTATTTACGGAGTAGTCCCGGTTTTTGATCATCTTACATCTGTTTCTGGGGTTGAGATTCAGTCTGTCAGAATGGGAATATCCAGGAAGTTTCTATTCCCTGTTGGCCTTGGTTAGGTGCAGGGTTGTAAAGTGGGAAAGGGAATGATGAGTGCTGTAGGTCCAGTCATTTGTAAATAACCAGATTCAGGAATAGCAGGCCTGTACCTGTTTGTTTGGAGAAATTTGTTTTTTTTCCCCCATGTAAAACAGTGACTGGTGCCCTTCTGGCTGACCAACAGTTCCTGGTTCCAATGACCTTCCCCTCTTCTCCCACAGAAAGAGTTTATCATGTTGGGCTCTGGATTCAAGGCTGAGCGCTTGCGAGTCAACCTGCGCCTTGTCATCAATCGCCTCAAACTACTGGAGAAAAAGAAGAGTGAGTATTTGAGGGGGCAGGTGTGACCCAGGATGCTTTTGGGGCTCAGGAGACTTGAGGAGAAGATTTTTCTGGAGTCAGGGTACTTTCATGGGCTGAGTATGGAGTAGCCTTTTGCTTTTCCTTGCTGGACCCAGGCCTTGCTGTCTGCCCCGGTATGCAAGCACCCAGAGGAGCAGGCTGGCCACAACGTGGCCTCTGTCCACCTTCCTGGCGGGTGTCAGAGTGCAGTTTATGGGGTGGTAACTGTGGGCCATGTGTGGAGGGACATGCCAGTTTGCCCTGGGGGGCTTTTCCTGGGCTTTCTGTGCCCACAGCATAGTGGGGAACTTCCTGGGTGCTGTGGGAGGCTCTCCCCCACCTGTGCTGTCCTGCCCAGACACAGGTAAGATCCATGGTTCTGATTGACTCTGCAGGGAAGTTGAAGGTGTAGGAGCATTTCTAGCAGCTAAAAGCCCACTCCTTTCTCCCATGAGTTAGTGTGCTAGGACCTAGACACAAGGGCTCCACCAAAGCATGGCTCAGTGTCTTGCACTGCAGAGATTCGATGAAGGAGAGAGAGAAGCTCATGATGGCTTTGTGTGTGGTGGGGACTGCGGGCAGGTGCAAAGGCAGCAGCCCCTGCCAGCACAGTGACTGGCCTTGGGGATATGTGCTGTAGCTGAGTTGGCCCAGAAGGCAAGGAAGGAGATTGCAGATTATCTGGCATCCGGAAAAGATGAGCGTGCCAGGATTCGTGTGGAGCACATCATCCGTGAAGATTACCTTGTGGAGGCCATGGAGATCCTGGAGCTGTACTGCGATCTGCTGCTAGCCCGCTTTGGCTTGATTCAGTCCATGAAGTAAGCTCTGGCCTAGAGGGTATGCTGTGGGAGAGGGTCCAGGCCCCCTGGGCTCAGGGAGGGGTACTGCTGGGGGCAGGCCTGGGATACAGAAGGGCGCTTGTTTGTCTCAGTGTCCTAGGGCCTCCAGAGAACTTTTCTTCCCCAGGCAGGGAAGACTCTGGAGCCCAGCATGGAGGATGGGGACTTTCAGGCTAAGCAGATTGAGGGCAGCAAAGACTAGCTGCTTGGTGCGGAGATAGGATTGTCTTCTGTTGTCCTTAGGGAGCTGGACTCTGGCCTGGCAGAAGCAGTATCTACACTGATTTGGGCTGCACCACGACTCCAGTCAGAAGTGGCTGAGTTGAAGATTGTGAGTAGGGTTGTTTGAGGGGTGTTACACATGGAGGGTGGGTGTGACGCTGCCAGAAGCTGGTGGAAGCCTTTGTCTGGGACTCTGTGTCATCAAGGCAGAGGACATGTTTTTATGGGCTCTGCAGATGGAGACCCCAGCATAGGCGTCCCTGGAACATCAGGGATGGCTAAGGCTGCTCAGCTGGGGCACTCAGTGGCAGAAATGAGGGCGATCGGGGGGCGGGAGGGGGCAGGCAGCTGTAGGGGCCACAGCAGATGTGCAGTGTGTGGTGGGGGAAAGCAAGGGTGTACATGTTCCCAGAGTTTCTCTCCTGCTGCAGGTTGCTGACCAGCTGTGTGCCAAGTACAGCAAGGAGTATGGGAAGCTGTGCCGGACAAACCAGATTGGAACAGTCAATGACAGGGTAATGACCTGGTGGAACCGCTGTAGCCAGCTGGAGCTCGCAGAACAGACATGCCTGCTGTGGCTCTCTGCCCCTTTTTCCTGTGGCCAGTGGCTGATGCCTGTGGCTCACTGCATAGTAGGGGGGGCCAGTTGTGCTGCCTGCATTGGAGCGTGGGAGCGTAGTGCTGAGGTCCCTGGCAGGTGGGGCCCTGCTGTGCTGGCTGTGGATGGAGAGGAGCAGAGCACGTGGAGCGCTGGCCTGTGGTTGCCCGCAGCCTCCTCTGCAGCAGTGCTGCACTGGGAGGAAAGGCCTCCCCAAGGCTGCACTGTGCTCCCTGCAGCAGGTGGCCCTGGCTGGGATAGAGCTCTGCTGCGCTGCACTGCCCCAGTCCCGCTGAGTGTCTCTGCACCCTTGTGTTCCAGCTGATGCACAAGCTGAGCGTGGAGGCGCCGCCCAAGATTCTGGTGGAGAGATACCTCATCGAGATTGCCAAGAACTACAATGTGCCCTATGAGCCTGACTCTGTGGTGATGGTGAGTGAGGCACCTGCAAGTCTGGAGCTCCCTTCTGTGTTCCAGTGGCTGAAATGTCCTGTTAGTGCTGTGCGGGCTTTCAGAGGACAGGGCTGTGGCATTGCAGCAAACTCGGTGGTAATTGTGCTTTGGTATCTTCTAGACAGCCCTAGCATAGCACGATCCCTGCTCCTTCCCACAGCCCTACGGCATGTGGCTGTAGTTAGTCATGCTATAGTCTGGTTCCCTTTCTGATTCCCATTAATATCACTGTGTAGCTGCTGTCTGTTCTGTCCTTGTTGTGTTGTCCCATCTTGTCCAGTGACAAATGCTGCATCTAATGCTGTTCAGAGGGCTGTGATCAGAATAGAGATGCGTTGGCGAGCAGAATTCTTCCACCCTCTCCAGGCTGAAGCCCCTGCAGGCGGAGAGGCAGATCTGATTGATGTGGGATTCACAGATGATGTGAAGAAGGGTGGCCATGGAGGGGGAGGAGGTGGTGGATTTACAGCCCCGCTGGTTGGTCATGATGGAATAGTACCCATGCCAGTGATGATGCCTATGCCCATGCCAACACCAAATCCACCCTTCTCCTATCCACCTCCAAAGGGACCGGTAAGTGCCTTTGCTTTGAGAATTCCCTTTTTCTGTGGAAGACTCTGATTGTGGTGCTTAGCCCTGTGCCTGCTGATTGGGAATTGTCTGTACCTGATAGCTTGATGTGTCAGAAGGCCATTGTGTTGCTGTGAGACTGCATGGGATGGAAATTGTTGGCAGTGCAGCTGAAGCTTCATGTTGCTTCTTGACTGTGGAGGTTCCTACCCCTGTTCTCCAGCCAGCCCTCTTTGCCTTCAGGGAACAGAGGAGTCCAGACTTAACTCCTGAGGCAGTCTTCTGACTGTCAGGCTTTTGACCAGGGGTTGGAGCTGCATTTTGAAGTTGGTAGGCTGGTAGTGTGCCAAGATTCAGTCAAGGAAATCAGGTGAGTTTTGTGGGGTGAGAACAGCACAGAAAAATGCGGAAGTGCCCTGCCTTCAGACCTGCAAGGGGAGGGGACAAAGCCAATGGCTCTTGGAGATGGTTTGTTGTGAGGGTGGAAGGTGGGAGCTGAAAAGAGCACTGTTCTCTGAATTCAGTCATTTACAGGATATCTGTGTAGACCAGAGAGTGGCAGAACAGTGGGATGGCTTGGAGTCTTAACATGGTCCCAGCAATGCTGCAGTGTTTTTTTGTGGAAAATCTGGGCCAAGTATCATCAGCTGGCTGAAGGCCCAGGCATAAATGTGCTGAGGACTTGTGCCAAATCTAGGTCTTTGTATTATCCTTACTTGTAACACAACAGTGCCTCAAAGCCTCGAGTGAGCCAGAGACTTCCTTCCTGTTTTGTGATACTGCACTCAGGAGAAATGGCTCAAGTGTGCTTAAGGTAGGGTATTACCCTTTTTGTCCTGGTACTTCTAGTGCCTTGAAAGATGTAGTGTTTAGTTGTGCTGCTTCTTTAGAATAACCCACAGTCCTGTTAGGTGGGTCTGGTTGCTCCATGTGACTACATCTGACTTAATACTTAAGAATCTTTTCCTAGTAAGTATAAACTATATCAGGTTGGATACTTGCCTGCATTTATCTTAAGACTACTACTTTCTCTGACTCCCATAGCAGCTGTAGGTGTATTGTGTCCCATGGTCATTCTCCCAGGTGAGTAGTCTGGTGCATGACTCTAATCTTTCTGTACAGGAGAACTTCAACGGCCTACCTGTGGGGACCTACCAGCCTTTTAGTAACATCCATCCACCACCAATTCCGGCAAGCCCACCAACATATGACTCTGTAAGTGCCTGAGCTGAATCACCATTGTAGGCAGCAGCGGGAACCTCAAAGAGAGTGCAGTGGTAGCCAGGGAAAAGGAAAATGTTCATTAAGCACATTCCTGTCAACCTTTGGAGCTTTTGGGGTGGTGCTTGGCATTGCTTATGGGTGCAGTGAATCACTGAGTGCATGTGATGGGAGAATGACTTGTGAGAAGTTCCTCATTCAGCTCTGCTTTGGCTGCAAAGGAAAGCCAAGATATATTTTATGGCTTTGTTAAAATGGTAGTAAGCAGTTAACAAGTAGAGTCTACAAATTCCGTGGTTTTTTTTTTTCAACGTGAAGGGTTTATCACCTTCGGTCTGTTAAATTACGGCTTTTGAACTAATTCATAGTTAGCCCGGATGAAAATTTTGGCTGACCGAGATGATGTCTGTTTAAACACTCTTCCTTTCCCAGACTTTTCTCAGTCCTTTGGGACAACAAAGGAGAGGCTGGAGTCTTCTCTTTCTACGCTTGTCTATGTTTTGTTGCTGCAGTTCATGATCATGCCTCTCACTTTGCTTTCTGTGACATGCTTCTTGTTTTTACAGTATCCTGAGTAGGGATGAGCATAGCCAAGTACCTGTGTGTGCTAACACCTTGTAGTAGCTGCACAGCACCCTTTGAGTCCAGGAGATATAGGCATAGATGCAGCAGTTGTTAGCTGGGTAGAGATAGATGGCATTGACTGCAGCCCACAGGGAATGAGGAGTTATACCAGCACAATTGACCATGCCGTGGGCCTTTGTCCCAACCGGACCAAGACCTGATATGGGGTCATTTTGTACCTTGCTACTGGTTACAAGGACCTATCTACTGTTTATGAAAGAAAGGAAGCAGTAGCTGTGATTAATGTGGATGAAGAGGGCGGTCTTCTCCCACTGAGGTCCTTGATAAATATTTTAGACCTGCTAGTGGAGATATGCTCTGTTTATCCAGTTCCAGAATATGGCCAGTGAAGCTGCTTTGATTGACAGGGAGGCAGAGTGTTGTGGTTTAACCTCAGTTGGCAACTGAGTTCCACACAGCCAGCCACTCACTCCTCCCCACCCCACCCCCCCCAGTGGGATGGGGGAGAGAATTGGAAGAGTAGAAGTGAGAAAAACTCGTGGGTTGAGATAAAAACAGTTTAATAATTGAAATAAAATAATAATAATGTAATAATAATACACAAATTTCCCCAGTTGTACTGAGCATGATGTCACATGGTATGGAATGTTTCTTTGGCCAGTTTGGCTGTGCCCCCCCCAGCTTCTTGTGCACCTGCAGCCTTCTCAGTTGGTAGAGCATGGGAAACTGAAAAATCCTTGACCAGTGCAAGCACTACCTAGCAACAACTAAAACATCAGTGTGTTATCAGTTTTGTTCTTCTCCTAAATCCAAAACACAGCACTGTACCAGCTACTAAGAAGGAAATTAACTCTATCCCTGCCGAAACCAGGACAGAGAGGAAAGTCGAAGCACTGCCTCCTTTTCGTGGGAAGAGAGGCAGATTCTTCTGAGTGTGCTGGAAGCCAGGGCTGTCTGCCTTCTTGGGGAGGGGTGGGGTATGCATTGCTCTGCGTGGGTGTGGCTGCTGTTGCCCGTGAGCAGTTCCTGCACACCTATGTGATCCTGTGCCTGGTAGGAGAGAGAGCTGTAGTAACTGAGAGTCTTTTCCAGATTGATGAGCCTAATGCTGACAAGGATGCTTCTGCGCCGGTGGCTGGTGAGTATGTCAAGAGGTATGGGAAACCTAGGGTGGTTAGGGGCTGTGGTTAGCTTGGGATCCCAGTGTTCCTGGGAGGAAGCTTTCCATATAGGGAACAATGTGTAGAACTCTACTCATCTTAAGAGCAGGATTTGAGTTTGGAGAGGATTCTGACGGAAATGGAGGGTATCCTCTCAAAACAGGGAGGATCCAGACTTCCGCTGGGAAACTCAAGAACTAGAGTTTGACTTCGGAGTCAGTACTGGGTCTCCAGCTTAAGCTGTCTCATTAGACCAAGTATAGGGCGTTGCAGGATAAAACGAGAAAGGAACAGCTCTAAGTGATGATATATTTTTACACGGCGTGAATAATACTGTTCTGCAGCAATAGAATGAGAGAAGTAAGCACTAAGAAGGTAGATAGGTTGGTATTAATGTCAGTGTTGAGATTCCCGCAGCAGAGCGGGACTAGTAGAAATAGCTGTTATGCCTTTGTCCATCTGCCTAAAGGCTTACGAGGTGCTTCATGCATCGTGATTGGATCATAACAAAATTCTCCTGCCTTGTACAGTGTGATTCTGCTCTGTGTGTTTTGAAAGCACTTGTTCTCTCTAGCACTTGATAAGGACAGAGAGGGTTTTTAGAGTAAGTAGACCTTCGACAGCTCCAGCAAGGATTTCTGACGATCTAAGAGTCCTCTGGGCAGTGTTGATGATGCGTGCTGAAGAAGATAGGCCTATGGGTGCACTGGATCTGGCTGTGTGCTTCAGTTTGACAGCTGAGTGACAGCATGTGATACCTGCATGTGTCTTGAGGAGGTGTTGGAATGGAGAGAACTGGGACTTTGAGTCCCCATGATGCAGTCCAGCCAGTATAGGGGTGTGGGAGCTTCAGCCCACCTGCAGCTGGCTATGGGCAGTGGAGGGGGATCTCCTACTGTCTGGTGCAGCCATAGGATAGGGTCACCCACCTAGATCTGTCATGGCTGCAGCCTCTTGCAGCCATATAAACCTGAAACCTTGTGCTTTTCCCCGTTGAGCGCAGTTGGAGGTGCGTGACCACTGGTCCTGTTCAGAAAAATACATTGGTACTGCCTCTTCCGTAGAACGATCTTTCTTTTGTGTGTCTCTGTTTTGCCTCGTGAGAGTGTGATGATGGTGAGGTGAAATGATATTTCTCTTATTCTAAATAGGGCCCGGGCCCAAGTCAGAAGCTCCTCCTAAACCAGGAGCTGGAGCTCTTAATACCTGTGATAACTTTGTGCTGCCTGAATTACCATCTGTGCCAGATACGCTGCCAACAGCATCTGCCGGCGCCAACTCTTCTGCCTCTGAAGACATTGACTTTGATGATCTTTCTCGGAGATTTGAGGAGCTAAAGAAGAAAACATAAAATTGACTGGGCTGTAACTCCAGTGTGAGGGGCAGGAGCTGTGACAGCTGCTTCTCTCTGAAACAGACTCCCCTTGAAATTGGTTTCCTGTATTAACCTCAAATGAACGCGCTCTTCTTTTTGAGCTCTCTTCCTGCTGTACTTAAACCAAATGCTGCCGCTTTCCCAATCTTTGTTACTCCAGGAGGTGAACTGTGGGGAATCTTGTAAGACTGGAGCAGGGAACAGCCTCTGTCAGTCTGGGTAGCTGTACAGGAAAGCCATGTGTGACATTCTGGGTGCCATTCCTGGCTGCCTCCACAGCGGCTCTGTGCTCCCTCCCACAGAGAAGGGAGGTGAAGGCTGAAACGTGACAGGGCTTTCTCCTTTCCCCTGGTGGTCTCAAGGGCAGCAGCAGCATCCACAAGCTGCCCCTCTCTGCTCGATGGTAAGGGTGATTAAGTCCCTTTGGTCAGGCTTCTAACTAATAGGGGAGGAGGCAGGGAATACGGTCATGAGGGGACGCAGCATTGCCCTTGAGGCTGTGCAGCACGCTGGCACTTCTGCCATCTCCCTGGCTCCAGCTGTATCTGGTTGCGGTTTGCCTGATGTCCTCTTTTGCTCCCACTGGAGTCTCGGGGAGCCCTCCGTGGCCGCTGCTGCGTTCTCGGTGGGGGATCTGTTTGCAGGAAGGCAGCGCTGTGTGCTTTCCTGTTCAGCAGCATGTCCCGCCGGGAGGGCGAGCTGGCCAGGCTGCGGGCGAGCAGAGCGATGTGGTGTGTGCTGGCTGCGCCATAGCCTGCACCAGCTCCTTTCTCACTGGGTATTGAACGTGTACGGAGAGCTGAGGTCAAGGAGACTCTGATGGGAGACGTGGCAGTAACTGTGCTTGCCCCTGAGCAAGGGGGTGGGAGATCTCTGGGGCTGGGGTGGCTGTTCCCCTCGGCCTGGGTGCAGGGTGGGCTGCTGAGCGCGGTGTGCTCCCTTCTGCGTAGCGTGTCTGCGTGTAATGCTTTCACACAACTCTTCCTTGACGTTCTCGGTTGGTTTGTATCTTACAGGTTGGTTCCTAATAAAGCCTAGCCTTGTGAGCAGCGGTGTCCAGGGGGCCGGGGGGTGCTTTTATCCGGGGGCGCACGGCGACGGGACCCTCTTTGCTGCAGGGGCGTGGCTGTGGCCGTCGAGCGGGCGGTGCGGTAGCGCTGCCCCCGCGGTTCTGCTTTTCGGTGGGCCCTGCCTCCCCCCGGGTCGTGCTCCTCCAGGCCGCGGAGCCCTGGGGGGGTGAG